ATGCAAGCCAATTTTTCGGCGAGTGACGAAAAATTGGAGAGCGTACGAATCTAAAAATAGAATCCGCTTGCATGTGTCAGTACACACAGAACCAGCAAGTGCGTAGCGGACGATTTTCGAGACGAAAATTTTTGTATGAGTTGAGGAACGAATTTATTTACAGTCGTTGAATACGTCGCAATGAATACCCTAATGACAATTATCCCAATGTGAACTAATGTATTTAATATATATTTTATTTTTAAAATTTTGCCCACCACGTTTCTGCATTTCCGAAACAGAATTTGTAACATTCTTCGACCTACTAGGTTACCGATTTATAGCAGCTGGTGACTACAATGCCAAGCACACCCATTGGGGATCTAGACTTACCAACCCGAAAGGAAGACAACTATATAACGCTATAATAACCCCACGAAACAAGCTAGACTTTATCTCTCCGGGCAAGCCCACATATTGGCCCACAGATCCAAACAAGCAACCCGACTTGATTGATTTTGCAGTTACACGAAGGGTGCTGCAAGCTCAGATTAATGTAGATCACTTAACAGATCTATCATCGGATCACTCGCCCATTCTACTTCACCTTTACGACCATCCACAGCATTCGGAACGCCCACACTTTCTAACTTCTAGCAAAACAGATTGGCTCAAATACAGGAAGTACATAAGCTCTCATATTGATAGCTGCCCAAACATTAATTGTAAAGATGACATTGATAGGTCAGTTGAAGCATTGGTTTCCTCAATGTCACTGGCGGCAAAACACTCAACACCAATATTAGCATCTAATAAACATTCCAACAGCAGTCGTATTTCTAGGCACATTGAAGTGCTGCTACGCGATAAAAGAAGGCTTCGCCGAGAGTGGCAAGCACACAGATCACCTGCATCGAAAGAGCGGCTAAAAATAGCCAACCACCTACTACGCAGAGCCCTAGAAGATGAAAAAAACCGAGCTCAAATATCCTATATGGAGCAACTCTCCCCAACTAGCAAACGATTCCCACTGTGGAAAGCAAAATCAGGCGTATGCCCACCAATCGAGAGTGAATCACCTTTGCGTACACAAACAGGAGAGTGGGCTCGCAGCAACAAAGAGAAGGCAAATACATTTGCCGTCCATCTAGAAAACGTCTTCAAACCGCACCCAGCAACGAATAGCTTAGTGCTCCCACCAACCAACAATCCCGAAGCTACTCCGCCTATCATATTCCAAACAGGAGAAGTCACAAGGGTCATTAAAGACCAAATCTCAAAGCAAAAGAAAGCTCCGGGCCACGATTTCATCTCTCCTAAAATGATCATAGAATTGCCGAGCTGTGCAGTGTATTTTCTTACTATGATATTCAACAGCATGATGAAATGGGGCTATTATCCTCAAGAATGGAGGAAATCAGTCATCACAATGATCCATAAAGCCGGAAAAGACAAGTCCAAGCCATCATCATATAGACCTATCAGCCTACTGCCTTGCCTATCAAAGATATTTGAAAAGCTGCTCCTGAATCGTATCAAACAACACCTACACATCAACGGTGCCATCCCGACTCACCAATTTGGATTTCGCGAAAAACACGGAACCATTGAACAAGTAAACCGTATAACCTCTGAGATACGAAATGCATTTGAAAGACGGGAGTATTGCTCCGCTGTTTTTCTGGATGTCGCACAGGCTTTCGACCGCGTTTGGTTAGATGGCTTAATCCACAAAATCAAAATATTACTTCCACAGAACATCCATGGAATAATGGAGTCATACGTACAGCAAAGAAGTTTCGCAGTACGATGCAAAGATTTCCTCTCTGAATATCATCCAATTGAAGCTGGTGTACCGCAAGGCAGCGTGCTTGGACCGACACTGTATATCATATTCACAGCAGATCTACCGACAAACAGCCTAACAACAACTTCGACATTTGCTGATGATACTGCCATATTAAGTCGCTCCAAGTGCCCAAGAAGGGCCACGGATCACTTATCATCTCATCTCGTGGCCTTAGAAAAATGGCTAGCAGACTGGCGGATACATGTAAACGAGCAAAAGTGCAAGCATGTCACCTTCACGTTAAACAGACAAACTTGCCCTCCATTATGTCTGAACAATATCAACATTCCACAAACCACCGAAGTAACATACCTTGGTGTTCATCTGGATAGAAGGCTTACTTGGCGTAAGCACATCGAAGCGAAGAGAAATCTACTTAAATTTAAAGCTAGTAATCTACATTGGCTAATAAACACCCGTTCACCACTAAAACTGGAGTACAAAGTACTTTTGTACAATGCAGTTCTCAAACCTATCTGGACATACGGCTCCGAGCTATGGGGAAATGCTTGCGTTAGTAATTTAGAAATAATCCAGAGAGCTCAATCGAAGATACTAAGAACTATCACTGGGGCACCATGGTACATACGGAATGAAAATATCCATAAAGACTTAAATGTAGGATCAGTTAAAGATGAAATTGCCAAAGTGAAAGCAAAGTACCAGGCCAAGCTTCAAGCCCATCCTAATAGGCTTGCGCAGTCTTTAACTTGGCACACTAGCCATACACGACTCCGGCGAAGAGACCTTCCCACCCAGCAATAATACTTAGCTAGGGACGTACTCTAAGTAATTAAGTGTAAATAATTAAATAAATATATTAGTCTAAGATTTGTATACTTGTCGTAAGTCTCTAATAGGGAAGATTCGATAAATAAAATCCCGTAAAAAAAAAAAAAAAAATTTTTATATATGTACATATATCCGATCATTATTATAGAATATACCATCTTAAAAGAAATTATCATTGGAGGGATATATTTACAATATAAGAGTTTTTTAATATTGGGGTGGTAAGCGTCTTGCAAAATTAACTTACACTTATAAAGTGAAGGGTATATTTCGACAGCGCTGTAAAAAACGTATGCATGTGCACACATACATTCGTCGCGACGACTCGTCTCGGCTGTCGCAGCGGCGGATAACCAACTTCGTGTGCCTTCGAATGCCGTATGCACTAGAGCGCTCTCTCTCTCTAAAAAATTTCAAGAGAGCCTGAAGGCAGCTCTAAAGTTAGCCTGCAAAATTCGTGTGCAAAAATTTCGTATGGCGTTATGTATCCTATTGTCTTTGGTACAACGCTCCGTTTACCTTTTGACGGACTTGTGCAGTGGGCGAAATATCTTGTTTGTTTTTTGCGGATGGATGGCATATGGAATTTTTCTCTATTTCTTGCTCCCTTGTTATGCCATGGCGATAGTAGATCGGATCTGAGACTAGAACACGAGATTTGGAGTCAAGAAATTAACTGCTACGGCTGACTGTGGTAACTTTGGCGAAAAACTATTGGAACGAATATGAAATAAAACAATGATGCCTTACACAGTCGGTTTTTACTCGATGCGGAACAAACATAACACTTGGATTTTTTGACAATTCGTGGGCTTGAATATATTGATTGGCTTATATTTGATGTTCGGGCACTTTAATTTCCTGTATTGAGATGCGTGATCGCTTTGTCGGTGATACCGATAGTTTTTTAATTTTGTCACCACTAGTTTCTCTTGATCCCACGAACACACAATTTGAAAACATTCACGGAAAAAATGCGAAATAGCTGTGAAAATGCGCTGTGCCTGGGTTGAGGATAATTTATCACGTATTTGGGGATAATGTTCTTTATTGTGGCGACCGAAAGGTGTGGCTGGAACGCGTAAATTGCTCGGAATCGCAGAATTTTATTGTTCAATGTATTCGGGTATGCGCGGAATGTATGTGTAGAATGCGGTATAAGATATATCGAGAGTAGTATGTATATATGGAGTGATATGTAGATGTTTGTATATTTTTATATATTTATATATATCTTCTTTGACGAAGAGCGTTTTTAAACTCTTTACGCCTGCTTCCCACAAGCCCCCCATATGTGGAGCTCCTGGCGGGATGAGACTCCATGCAAACCGGTGATGGCTATATGCATCAGTCAACGAGTCCTTGAACGCCTATAGGAAGTCCCGAGAAAGTACAGTTGCTGCTCCCACGAAAGTTTTTCCATTGTCTGAATGGATATGCTGCGCACAACATATTCGATCGACGAAACGAGTGAAGGCGGCTAGAAACTTCTCGGTGGTCAGGTCGGAAGTGGCCTCCAAGCCTTTGTCGAAGAACTTACAAATACGCACACATAACCTTTAGTGATCAGGCAAGCTCTCCCGGTATAATTCTTTATATCAAAGGGACCGGCGTAATCAATCCTGGTATGGGTAAACGGTCTGGAGAAAGAAGTTCGATCTGTCGGGAGATCACCCATCAGTTGGGTCTGTAACTTATTCTTGTGGACGATACACACTTTGCATGAGTTCACCACACTCTTTATCAGGTTCCGGATTCTCGGAATCCAATACTTGCCATGAATTCGGCGAGTCATCAGTTGATTGCTGCCATGGAGAGTTATTCTGTGCGTGAAGAGAGCCAGAAGGCGAGACAGGCGGCAACTATAGGAAAGGATGATTGGATGACGCTCGTCATACTTCAGATCTTGAGAAGTTGTGACACGGCCACAGGCTCTCATGATCCCATGTCGGTCGAGAAAGGGGTTCAGGTTCAGAATAGAGCTCGCACTTGACACGGGACGTTTACCACTCAGGCAGTGAAATTCTTGAGAACGTCCCAGCGCTGAGTCTCTAGCATAAGAGTTCATTCCGCTTCTTTTATTTCCGCGCTAGAGAGGGGGTCCCCACGTGCGGGTGATACCTTCCGGCAACACTGAATAAAACGCAGAACATACGCCCGCACTCGAAGAGCCCGCTCAAGCTGGGAGAATCGATCCAGGAAATCTTCGGATGGGCTGGGAAAAAAATGGACTTTCACGGCCCGCTGCTCTAGGGTCATAATTGAAGTTTCGTCAGCTTGGGCTGGCCATTGATCACGTGGAGATTGCAACCAAACTGGTCCATGCCACCAGAGTTGGTTATCTACCAGTCCCTGTAAAGGAACGCCTCTATTGTCTAAGTCAGCAATCCTTGGTTTCGGTGGTTTGAGCTATTTTGGTCACTCGATTGACTACAAAGGTAATCCAGTGACAAGCGGGCTTGTTCAACCAAGCCAGTGCAATCGTAGAATCGGTCCAGTAATAACATTGAGGACTTGCCATCGGCATGCTTGGCAGAATAGCCGTTGCCATTTCGGATAGGAGTACTGCACCGCACAGCTCTAATCGGGGAAGCGAAACGGTTTTCACGGGAGCATGTCGTGTTTTCGCCGACAACAGATGCACCGTAATATGCTGGTCACACTCCACGCGCTCGTAGATCAAGGCACCGTACGCCTTTTCAGATGCATCGCAGACACATATCCCAGCCACACCGCGGGGTCAAACAGCTTTGCAATCTGGGAAAGAACTTTTGATGACTCGGATGACTCGACCGTGAACACGATAGGAACAAAGAAGAAGTCATCGGACGTTGCCTTCCAGCGAATTCCGAGGGTCTTTGCCGTGCTCTCGGCCTCAATTTCCAGCAAATCGTTGTGAAGGAGGTGGTCACTCGGAATCCCATCCAAAATCTTCTTTTGGTTGGACGTCCATTTACGCAGTGGAAAACCTGCAGAGCTGAGGCCTGCAATTCGTGGATAGCCAGTTGAGCCTCCTTGATGGAGTCTCTCTCGGCTAGGACGTCGTTGACGTACATGTACTGCCGCACACTGTGACTTGCCTTTGGATATCGAGACTGGATGCCGTCGGCAAGCTGTTGTAGTACCCGGATGGCTAAAAACGGAGAGCAATCGACTCCCAAAGGGCACGGTTTTCAGCTCGTAATTTCCCCCTCCTGGTTTCGAAATAATATTCGCTGGAAGGACGTGTGCTTAGGATGTACCCAAATCTGGCGATACATCATTGTAATGTCGGCGTTGAAGACGTATCGGAAATAGCGCTACTTCAGGATTTGGAAGGCTAAGTCGGATTGTAGGAGCGGACCAGCATGAAGAAGATCATTCAATCTCGTGCCGTTCGCTGGACTTGTTGAATACCACGCGGTGTTTCGTGGTAGTGCTCTCAAGCTTGACTACGGCATGGTGTGGGAGATAATAATTGGCGAATTCGTTAGTGGAGGGAACATCTGTCATATGGTCGATCTCTAAATATTTCTGGATCACAGAGTTATACTGCTCATGAAAGGGAATGTTTAGCCGATTCTCATTTCGGAGAAACTGAGCTAGGGAAATGGACCTTGAATGCCCCACAATGATCGGGGTCACGAAACGGTAGTGTGACCACGTAATTTCCGCTTGACGTTCTTAACGTGGTTCGAAGAAAATTGCTTTCGCAATATGAGTCCGACTCTCCTACTACCTTGAAAAAAACTTTAATGAGAAGTTTGTCCAATGGAGCGTCGCGGACGTGGGAAATTTGGGTGGAGAAAGATACAATTTAGTCTGGAACATTACTCGGCACTGGACCTGTAAGCACCCACCCAAAAATAGTTTCTTGTCCGAGGAGGAAGCCACAGATGTCGGTCTGTGAGCCGCTTAACAGGATGGACGGAAGGATGTCGGCACCGATCAGAACATCTATCTGTGAGCTCTCTTAGAATGTAGGGTCTGCTAGTGGCAGGTTCGGCAAGTCTCGCAGCGCACTTTGCGGGGTCGGATATGAAGGGAGATTTCCAGCTATGTAATCAGGGAGCGGATGGAAAAATCGCAGAGCTTCTTGGACTGAGCTGCTACAGTCTGATTAAGGCCTGAATCTTGGGCCTGAATAAGGCAGTATGGTAATTTAATAATATTGAAGAGACGTTCCGTAATGAACGTTGCCTCCTGAGTCGATCAGAGCACGGGCACGGAAATTTGTCCCCAGGTGGCAAATGTTGATTATAGCAGTGCCGAGAAGCACAGCCCTTGTTCCTGAGGCAAAATAATTCTGAACGTTGGGTGGAGCGACGGAGGAAGCGGGATCCTCCGCTGTGGTGGAAGTCGATTCGCTGGGAGCTGGAGTAAAACGATGCAGAAGCGTGTGGTGGCGGGATCCACAAGTGAAGCAACTGTTGGCGCTTTGGCATTCCCGGAGCTGATGACCTCTGGCGAAACAGTTCAAGTACAGCTGCCTCTTTTTAATGCAGCTGGCACGTGCGTCCACGGTCATTTGTAAGAAGTGCGGACATAGTCGAATCGGGTGATTCTCTTTGGAACAGAGATCACACGTTCTTCTCTTCGGACTAGCTTGTGTCTGGAAGGAGTGAAACTTCCTTGGCACGGGACTGCCATGAGACCAAAATGGATAGGAGTTGCTTCCGAAGAGCTGCGGATTCTGGGAACCTTTGGACGTGGACGGGTCGCTCTCCATGGCTTCTAGCGTCAGTGAGTGAGGAAAACGCCGATTTCCGTCCATGGAGGCACCTCCTTCTTATCTGTGACGAACGCCTCCTACAGTGACCGGGTCAATTTCTGAAACTTGGAGGCACAGATCGTAACGAGGATCATATCCCAGTTGTCGGTGCAGACATTGGAGTGAGCAAGGGCGGTGAGAACCCCTTGCATCGTGCTTTGCAGCTCTTTCAATGCCCGACTGGTTTCGGACTCGACGCGAAGCAATAAGAGCAAAATATTTATCTGGTTGGTCACCAGGAGCCGATTATTTTCATTACGGTTTCGGAGGGCCGACCATGCCGATTCGAAACCATCGTTGGTGAGCGGGGACTTTTCGACTATGGACTTAGGATCGCCACTTGTCTTAGCGGTGAGATAGTATAACTTCTCTACCGGGGACAACCTAGAATTATGTATGTAGATTGCCGTAAATAGGTCCTGGAAAGTAGGCCAGCGGACGTAATCTCCTGCGAAGACCTCAATGTCGCAGGGGGGCAGTCGACAGCCGCCATGGTAGGTTTGCGGTGCAGACAGATGGACTGCTGTTTGGGCTAGCTGCGCATTGAGGTAGCTAGGCACTGCTCAAATACCCCATAACACTCGCCGTACTTCTCTCGGATGTATTCTTGTACCCCTGGATGGTGCGTAGCCGACGTGGAGAGGTCACAGCCAAAAACCCTTTGCTGTCCTTGTCACCCGTTGGCATACTACGCACTCACAAACGCAGGATTTGAAGGCGAAGTCGGATGCAGAATCCGCGGATTGGCGAAAGAAAAAACTTAGGCTCGGCTGGAAGGCTGAATGGAAGAGAAAAGGCCTCGCGCGTTGCTGTAAAACAATTTTTAGAGGAGGATACCAAATGTATCACCATTATTTACAATGAAACGTCACGAACAGATTTATGTACATATATGTTTGTTTATTGATAATATGCCTGGTCGATTAGGCGACGATGTGTCAAGTGCGAGTGCTACGTCCAGACTCTGATAAGGGCAGACGGACCGAATTGCCCGTGCCTTACGCGAGACGAAAGAACGGTTGAAACGGCTATTATAGTGAGGGGGCGGGTGTAGATACATTTCAATTACAATAAGGTCAAGTGGACAGTGAAAATAAAGAACAAATAATAGGAATTACTTTAAAGCTGCACCACTGACTAAACATACTAAATTATGCTCGGCTGGGAGACCGAACAACCAACTCGGATTATTTGTGGTCGCCCCCGATCGAGGTTCCCAAAACAATGAGTGAATTAAATTCATGCTCACTGAGGAGAGAAACGGTCACACTGGCTGTGGAAATATTTAAAAAATATTGTTAGTACGCCGCTCCTCCGTTTACCTTTTGACGGACTTTGAAAATTATTATTTTTTCCTTCTCTTTGGTGATTGCGGATGGAATGCAGACGGCCTCGGCGATAGTAGAGCCGTTGGGATAAAGAACCAAGAGGTTGGCATTCTGGAGTGTTCGCGCAATTGTGCTTATTGTAATTCTCGTGACATCTAGGTGGCGATACCGATAGTTACGGAAAATATGTCACCAATAGTTTCTCTCTGTCGCACGAACTCAATTTGAAAATTTTTACGGAAAAATGCGAAATAGCTGCGGAAATGCTCTGTGCCTGGGTTGAGGATAATTTATCACATATTTGGAGATAATATTCTTTATTGTGGCGCCCGAAAAGTATGGCTGGAACGCGTAAATTTCTCGGAATCGCAGAAATAATATTAAATAAATGCCCTTTGTGAGCGAAATGTATGTGTGAACAGCGGTGGGTAGATGTCGAGAGTGGTATGTAGATATAGAGTGGTATGTAGATATGGAGTGATATGTAGATGTTTGTATATATGTGGTGTATTATAAGTTTCAGTAGATGTTAAATGTGAGGACCACTTGGGCTAATAAGTTAGTTATTTATTAACCAGATGCGGTAATAAAAGGAAAAGACATCAACCCAATTTACTGTGTGAAATGTATTTAAGTATGTAACTATGTATAACACTTAAGAAATGTTGACAGCGCGTATTTATTATGGGGGTGGATTGCACTTGGAGTATGGCAATATATCAGGGGTCGGCACACAGACTCACACATTTTTTTGGTGCGTTTGTGTGCGAAGACAACAGACACGAAGTCAAATACGTTACTTATTTCTCTGCTGCTGCGAAAGCCGAGTAAGTGTGCATAGAGCACACGAATGATTCTCTGCCGCTAAGGCAGGCGAGCAGAATCCGTTTGTGCATAGCCCGAAGCATGTTTCTCTGCCGCTACGTCAGTGAGGCAGAATTTTCTCTGCCGCTACGTCAGAAGCGCAGAATAACGAAACCACACGAAGTTTTTACGCTGTACGTGTGCCTACTGCGCTGCTCGAATTTGTTCCTATGCACGGTGCATACGACGCTGCCGGCCTCTACATTATATGTGTTAATGTGTGTTTGTGTGTGTGTGATTTGGTATGCATACGGTACATAAACCGTTTACAAATTTGTCGTCGCAACTAGAACTTGAACCAGTTGGACTGCGAAGAGGGTTTCCTACGTCGAGCAAATGAGGGTCTGAAGACACGGCGACAGCCTCTGTTGATTGCAGTTGTAGAGAATGAGTGAACAGGCAGTGATGGTACTGTTTCTGATACTGATTTTATTCAACAAACTTAATTTCTATTTATAGGTAACAAAAGGTACAAAGTTGTAGTAAGAATGGTAAAAGGATTAAAATTGATTGCGTGTGGGCTTCCCCCGGGGGGGACTACGGTACAAACCGACAAATTTGTCGTCGCAACTAGAACTTGAACCAGTTGGACTGCGAAGAGGGTTTCCTACGTCGAGCAAATGAGGGTCTGAAGACACGGCGACAGCCTCTGTTGATTGCAGTTGTAGAGAATGAGTGAACAGGCAGTGATGCTACTGTTTCTGATACTGATTTTATTCAACAAACTTAATTTCTATTTATAGGTAACAAAAGGTACAGAAAGTGCTGAGTCTAGTAAGAATATGGTAAAAGGGAATTGAAATTAATATTGAATTAATTTGGATTTAATATGACATTGTGTTATTGGGCAATTGTGATAGTCAGCAATTGCACCAGTGTTTTTGCCCTCTGAAGAGCGATCGCATCGTTTGCAGAAATTGCAGCAGAAGCGGTTATTGTTGACTCAGCTACAATGCTTTGTCGTTTGTTATTACGTCTCCCGTTACATGGGTCGACCTGACTTCTTCGATAAGTGTATGTTATGTAATATTAATTAATGCATAAATATGCGACTGAACAATATGCATGGGCGTGTATGTATGCACCTATGTAGATCAGCCGTTCTTGTGAACTG